TTCACTCAGTGACATCACCATGTTACTCAGTGACATCACCTAGTTGCTCAGTGACATCACCATGTTGTTCAGTGACATCACCATGTTACTCAGTGACATCACCTAGTTGCTCAGTGACATCACCTAGTTGCTCAGTGACATCACCTAGTTGCTCAGTGACATCACCTAGTTGCTCAGTGACATCACCTAGTTACTCAATGACATCACCTAGTTGCTCAATGACATCACCTAGTTGCTTAGTGACATCACCTAGTTGCTCAGTGTCATGACCTAGCTGCTCAGTGACATCACTTAGTTGCTCAGTGACATCACTTAGTTGCTCAGTGGCATCACCTAGTTGCTCAGTGGCATCACCTAGTTGCTCAGTGACATCACTTAGTTGCTCAGTGGCATCACCTAGTTGCTCAGTGGCATCACCTAGTTGCTCAGTGGCATCACCTAGTTGCTCAGTGGCATCACTTAGTTGCTCAGTGGCATCACCTAGTTGCTCAGTGGCATCACCTAGTTGCTCAGTGACATCACCTAGTTACTCAATGACATCACCTAGTTGCTCAGTGGCATCACCTAGTTGCTCAGTGGCATCACCTAGTTGCTCAGTGGCATCACCTAGTTGCTCAGTGACATCACCTAGTTACTCAATGACATCACCTAGTTGCTCAGTGGCATCACCTAGTTGCTCAGTGGCATCACCTAGTTGCTTAGTGACATCACCTAGTTACTCAATGACATCACCTAGTTGCTCAGTGGCATCACCTAGTTGCTCAGTGGCATCACCTAGTTGCTTAGTGACATCACCTAGTTGCTCAGTGCATGACCTAGTGCTCAGTGCATCACCTAGTTGCTCAATGACATCACTTAGTTGCTCAAGTGGCATCACCTAGTTGCTCAGTGGCATCACCTAGTTGCTCAGTGGCATCACCTAGTTGCTCAGTGACAGCACCTAGTTGCTCAGTGACATCACCTAGTTGCTCAATGACATCACCTAGTTGCTCAATGACATCACCTAGTTGCTTAGTGACATCACCTAGTTGCTCGGTGACATCACCAAGTTACTCAGTTACAATACCAGTTACTCAGTGACATCATTATATCTCAGTGACAACAATAAATTGGAAATATTTTTTTTCAGTCTAATAATAATGTCCAATTTGTACATTTGTACCCATATTGTTTAATGGGTATTTGTATAAGTACTTCAATTGTCACTGAGGGAAATGATAACAATTTCAGGATGTTATGGCATTCGTAATTAAAAAATTTCCTGAAAGTCACTGATACTTCAAATCATAGGAGCCTAAAGAAATTGCCACAGCTACACAATTTAACGATTTTTACTTAATCACGAAAATGAAAGTGGTTTACAGTATCACGAAACCATCATTTTCTCATTTCCAAACATCTCATGTTTTGTTAACAAATTGGCTTAAAAAGATGTGTATAATATGAGTGAAAACAGTTGTTGACATCATAGTTTAAAAGTCGCACTTTCACATAATATACACTGCATTAGGAACATAAATCAGCAACATAAATCTCAAATGTACTCGCTGCACTGAAAATTGAATGACCTTATTGCAAGGCCTTACGGTCACAATTTGGCTTAAAAAGATGTGTATAATATGAGTGAAAACAGTTGACATCATAGTTTAAAAGTCCCACTTTCACATAATATACACTGCATTAGGAACATAAATCAGCAACATAAATCTCAAATGTACTCGCTGCACTGAAAATTGAATGACCTTATTGCAAGGCCTTACGGTCACAATCCTGGTATCTTGGTATCAACCCATCAATCATGTTTAATACTAAAATGTACATCCACATTCGTCAACCATCTTAATACAAAGAAAAATTACTGATAACAATATTAATTCACTTTGATGGTTTCTTCTCCATCACGATATGGGAGATATTTTGGTTCCTACATGCTGGCAATGCTTATTATACATTCTTTGTTGGGAACGAACACTGATCGATTTGATTAAGAAATTCACAAAAAGTTTCCAATGTGAAACCTTTGGAGACAATGTATGCCTTGTGTCCAAACTCTCGCGCAGTGATAACATTGCGTTCGTCATCGTCCAATAGTAGGACTTCTTCGGGTTCTATACTAGTCTTCAAGGTGTTTGACAGCTCGGCTACCACCGATGCTATATGTTGTAGTTTTCCTATAGATGGTACTCCTTCCACTCGGGGCCACGTAGGTGGGTACGATGTGCCCCTAATTAGGATCTTTGACGTTTTACTGTAATGAAACAAAAAATATCTTATCATTATTAAACAAAATAGATTGAATATATACTCAACTATCTTTTCATAAAATTTGAGAATTTCCTTCAGGGAGAAATCAACAAAAAATTCAAATACATTTGCAAGCAAAAGCAAGTTCCATCAAATGCGCCACAAGAAAACAACACCAACTTTTGCTATGTGTTTTTTTTTCAGCCAAGTTGTTCCTAAGCGACACGAAGCTAGAGAGATTTTTAAAATTTTCGTCAGATTCTCATTTTCGTTCCTGAAATTACATAAAATGCAGCAATCTGTTTACATGCGTTAAAACTTCATGATTTAAACACCCAATCGAGACACAATAACTCAGTTAGTGCTGTTTTTAGACAAGCTGTTGTATATACTTAGTTTGTCTATGTAGGGCATAAAAAAGAAAGGCTCGTTGAAATTATTCTGCATGTCGCTTTATATGTACAGATATAATTCATGTGTTTTGTCAGAATATTTTATTTATTTTGTTTTCAAATCTCAAGTATGCAATTTAGCTACTGAAGCCATCATGTTTGGTACTACATAACAGATGACTAGGTGACCATCTTTCTATCATAATGACATCATTGTTTTTGCTCTATTAGAATTGCATCAATAGACACATGAGCCAAAAATTGCTTTTATTGTATGTTATTCGTTATTGAAATATGACTTATTTTACCACAGACACAACACTGTCAATTACTGTAAAATCCTTTATTTTAGCTGCAATTAATTTTTGCTAAAAAGACATTTTGGCTGTTTTGTATTAAATTTATTTTCACTAATTTGTTGATGAGTTAAATGTTAAATGTAGGAAAGCGGGATTCATTCCTTCAGCAAAAATAGCGAAAAATCAATTCTGAATAAAAATAAAAAGTAACTTACAGTATTTATTAAACCATATACACTAATAATAGAGCAAATACAGCAAATAACATATTATACTGTAAAAGTATTAATTATTCACTGGGTTTTAATTTTGCTTATTTCGCTGACTGCAAAATGCACTAAATTTAAACCCAGTGAATATGTAAAATTTAGCATAGAACACATTATCTAAATGATAAAACCGTGAATTTAAAACCCACTGAATATGCCTGAAATGCTAAATCAGCGAAATTTAAACCCAGTGAAAATTAATCATTTTACAATAATACACTATCCAGGAGCCAACCAGATCTGGTGCAAAAACAAGGCATTACTTTGACAATCAGAGCAGTGGGTAGAAATCACATCGCCTCAGTGACCCCTCTTTCTTTGAGTCACTCACCCCCATCCCCACCCAGAGTAATATATTTACACTCATATATTTTTGCTAGAAGTATCTCTTGTTAATACTGTAACTATTTTATTTTATATACTGTGAATTTCATAAAGGCATGAATTTGTTTATATGGACATTTCTACAATATCTACGAAACATTCATCTCGAAGATTCTCACGCTTCGTTCAAATTCAAAGAAGATGCTTCCATTCACTATAGAAGCCATTTAGTATCAGTTATTACATATGAATCCTAGCAAATTTCTATCAATCGTTAGCTGACTTATGATCGTGCATTCTAAACAGCTCAAAGCCCGCTAATCGTTAAGTTACGCTTGGGCCACACTGTATTTCAGTGTAAAAAAACAGCATTTTCTAGAAATAAAAATACATGCGCGACAAAATGTTTTTCTCATGTGAAATAATTTCCTCATTAACTTCGAAGAGTTTGTGATATAGAAACTGTAATCAGTCAAGTAGAAACAGATTTTGAATGCTACTATCTCAATTCTTGCATGATATTTTCACACAGGACATCTGTCATTTACACTAAGGGATGATTTTATTTTTTACTGATGAATAAGGTGACCAAGGTTGATACAGTTCGGAGTAGAATTAGTATACACACTAACGACAACAACAACAACAGCTACAGACATTTTCCCTACCCTTTCCATCTCCTCTTTGATGAGATTGGCAAGGTGAAAATGAAAATGAGTTATTTTTCAAGTAATATGTCCTTTACAAAACAATGTGATAATCAATCTGTACACAGCAGTGAATGATATCAAAAATTACAAATTTAACATTGTTCGAACGATCATATAGTATATTTGCATAGAAATAAATAACGTGCAGCTCATTTGCATAAAATAAACTTATCAATTGCTCCATTGAAACATGCGAGTAGGAAATAAAGAGTTTATTTAATTTTTATCATTTTTGATCGATTGAATATAAGGTATATTTCTATCACTATTCAATTTTAACATACAAAAACACTTTCCTTTCATCAAAATAAATTTCTGAACAAAAAAAAAACACAGAAAACATGCAATTCCAAGAATTCACAAAAACTGCACAAAACCATCACTATATATTTCCACATCATGACATTTGTGAAAGATATTTGATAATTAAAAACAAAAAGAAGCATTTTACATGTAACACAGGCAACACATACAGTATAGGAGAACACTGCATGGATTTGCTCGGTTGAAAACAATACACTGGTTACCAAGGTAACAGTCATGTTCTCTTTGAAAGATACAATGTGTGAAGTACACCAGCTGGGCACCTGTTAATCCCGTCTACGTTGTCAATGCTAGGGACTGCCCAACAGTTTTTTAATAAAGTACCAAAAGCTTTATAAAGCCAATAAAACATTGAGTGGTGTTGATATCCTGGGATTCTTATGTAGGGCCACCAGCAACTTAAAACTAGTTTAGCTCAATGTTGCGAAATTTCATGGTTCTCACCAGACAGGAGACTTCTTCCGGCCCCCATGGTTTATATTTTTGTCATACATTTTTTTACTCTCATGAGACAAATAGTCACATAAAAATGTAAGAAAATGACAATTTATGAATATGAAATGAACATCGAAACCTGTCTTCGTATATTCAAGTACACTACGTGTATATATCACTACTACGAGGTATACATGTATGGAGGACAAAATGCTTCACGTCTCTGTCTCAAGTTCCACAGGGATGGGTAAATTGTCTCAAACTTTCTAAACTGATGGAACAGTAATACCCACATATTTTCCAGTGACAATACAGAGAAATCACGCACTAGGAGTTGAACGAAGTGATGGTACCACCAGGATCCAGCTCAGTAGCACTCAAGCCCATCAACATTATAGTGGCCAAAAAAGTTACAAACACGATTACAAATTTTCAAGCCTGAGTTTTTTTCGGCTATGCTTGATATCATCAGTGTATGCATTAATTAAGCGGTGTTCCCAAATTGGTAAAGTTCGCCAAAAAACGAAAGGTGTCTTATGTCCCCCCTTCTCATATACAAAAGACTTGGATAATTTTTCCAATTTGTTATTCACTACAAAAATTAAAAACCAATGTTCACTACAAAGATGAAATAGCCCTTTGACAGTTTTTTTTTTTGGCGAACTTTAACAATTTGAGAACACCCCTTATAATGCCAAATTTGGCTCAAATATGAGCACTGACCTGATCTTTGATGATATGATTATTTTACATGAAATAAAATTTGTTCAGTACAGATTGTTCCTCTGAACCAGGGAATTAAAAACTTGTGATGACCATCTTTGTAGGGATGGCCAGTTTAATATTTATTTTTTTATTTATTTTTTGCATAGGTATCCACAGGCTTGTGATGACAAATGTATTAACAAGACCCTAACATACAAGTTATTCATTCAAATTGGTGTCATATGTTTTTCACATCCTCTATAAAATGTGACCATGTTGTTGGCAGTTGCGACACACATGTCAAAATCCACTCTCACAAATGTTTTAATAGTATTGCGTTCAGTCAAACTATTCTATCATAAAGAATTATGGGTATTTTTTAACATTTATTTTACTGCTTGTATGACTTTGTCCTGAAAAATACCCATAATTGTTTACAATAGAACAGTTTGGCTGAAAGCTGGGCTATTCTTAAAAAAGACTATTACCTCACATTAACACATAGAATGTTCAACTCAGGGAGCTGTTAAATCTGTTAAATCAGACAAAAAAATCAGACAGGAGTGAATTGCAGATTAATTTACTGAAAGTGCTAAAAAGTTTCACTATTTCAAATTTTGATAATTATTTTTAGTATCTACAGATTTGAAACCTTCTATTAATATGTACAAATATGCGAAGAACTGAATTATTAAATACTATGAATTATAAACAATCACTGAATTGCTCACATACTACATTCTTACAAAGGATACTCTTGGCATGTGCTAGCATATTCCTAAAACCTCACCTAAAATCTCTGGCTGGCATCAGCCAAAAAATAAACCCCTTTGGGTCAGCTTTTTGGACCAAACCAAACCATCCATTCAACTTTAATTAATTTATTCGTTTTATAAACAATTATCTGAGAACAGATTATATTTTTGTATTTTTTCTCGAAATCAGCAACACATACAGTTCCATCAGTACAGATGAGTACTAATTATTTCTACAAATCACCTTGTATTTTTTGTACTTTTAATAATTGGATTCCATATACGTATGTCCCATTATGACAGATTCTTTTGATAAATTAATTCACCAATATTGACATTGAATCCCAAGAGTGCAAGTTATAATGATTTTTTTTTGTATTTCAAAATATTTTTCTAGGCAGTATATACAATTTGAGACATTTAATTTTAGAGAAATATGAAAAAACCATTGAGTGAGTGTTGAGCCGAGAGAGCTCAGTTACAATCTTGCACCGTGTTATAAGTATTCGAGTAGCATATAAAAAAAGAACTACCTACCCTGTTTTTGAATAACTCGTTATCAGTACAACATATTTATTTGGGCTTAAGTTAATAAACGAAGTAAAATGTACATGATTTAGTGACGGTCATTTGGTAGTTTCACAAAAACACTGAAATGCCATTTCAAATAAAAAAAAAACAATATTAACTCAAAACAAAAGAATGTTTAAATTTTATTATTTTGCCCTGTGGGGAAAGCTAATAAAATATTCTCGCTTGTAATGATGATGTAGAAACTACAACAATCATCTATTTTAATTTAATTTTAATATTTGTAATTATAGTGAACCAACTCTTCTGTTTTTCATTAATTTGCCTGGGAAAGAAGAAGGTATTACAAATGAAGCATGGAACTGAATGTTGATGTGCTATATCAGTTTAGTAAAGAGTTATCAGTGTTCTTACCAGAAAAGAAAATATGTGGACAGAATAGGTGATTTTCCGTACACTGCGAGATCTTGCGTATTGTATGAAAGGTGCAAACAAAACGTCTGCCATAATAAATCAAATGATTCTTTTTTTATCTAGCTCAATGTCGAAATGCCAATCTTTCAGATGGGGAGTATGACATTGACATTTACTTCATCAAAATTGACCATCATAAAACGTGTACAGCACATCCGTAAAAATCAAATGATTTGATTTTGAACTTGAATTTACTTTTCTTTCAGTTTAATTTTGAAATTTCAGGAAGGAATATGACATTGAGTTATCTTTACTTTATCAAAATTGCCCATCATCAAATGTGTATTGTACATTATTAAGCGTGGAAATACACACCCAAATCAAAGAAAGCTTAGAAAGAACTCCCGTGTGCTGAGAGTATTGGAGACACATTAAAAATTAATTAAAAATTACTTGAACTTGAGATATTGATGGAAAAGCTTATATGCAAATAAGGTAACTAATATGAACAGATTTAAGTGTAAAACTAATAAGGTCTGCACAATGTAAAAGTAATAAGATTTTTGTAATATAATATCTATGTACCAAGTTTCATTGAAATGTGATTAGAACCAAAAAAATATTAATTATTATGCTAATTAGTGAATTAATATGAACAGATTTTAACCCAAAATTAATCAGGCTGCCTATTGTCCTAGAGCATTTATGTACCAAATTTTATTCAAATGTGATGATCAGTACTTGAGATACAAGTATTAATTAATTAATTATGTTAATTAATTAATTAATTTGTTAATTATGTTAATTAGGTGATTAAGAAGCATAAATATTTACCAAAAACTATTATGGTGTATAGTTTAGATTCATTGAAATATGATGATGAGTACTCTTTAAAAGTGTCATTAAAATCCAATGAGTAGTTCTTTAGACATCAGTGCAACAGCCATGGAACAGCAAAAAATTAACTAATTATGAAATTAGGTAATTAATATGCACAATTATTTACCCCAAAATTAATCAGGTCTCTGCATAGTCCTAGAAGATCTATGTTGCAAGTCTCATTGAAATGTGATGATTAGTACTTGAGATATCAGGTGAAAAGCTGAAAATTAACTAATTATGCTAATAAGGTAATTAATATGCACAAATATTTACCCCAAAACTAATTAGGTCTCTGCACAGTCCTCAATTACCTATGTACCAGGTTTCATTGAAATGTGATCATTATTGCTTGAAATATCAAAAGCTGAAAATTAGTACTTGAGATATCAGTGGAAAAGCCGAAAATTGATTAATCATTATGTAAATTAGGTAATTAATATAAATCGATTTTTACCCAAAACTAATCAAATATGCGTATTAGTTCAGAGCATCCATGTGCCAAGTTTCATCAAAATCCAATGAGTAGTTCTTTAAATATAAGTGGAACAGTCATGGAACAGCTGAAAATCAATTAATTATTATGCAAATTAGGTAATTAATATTCATGGATTTTCACCAAAACCTAATCAACTCTGCGCATTATTACAGAGCATCTATGTACCAAGTTTCATCAAAATTTGATTAGTGGTTCTTGAGATAACGGTGGAACAAAAAAAGTGACATACATACAGACATACAGACAGGGTAGCTGCAAAGACTCCCTTTTGTGCTTTGCACACAGGAGTCAAAAAATACTTTCGTATCTGTCAAATCCCACGTGATGATTTGACGCCACTACTATGCTGCGACCTTTGTTTGTCCCGATTGTACATTCAATTTCATAAAGCACAGTACAGGATCTCGCAGTGAATGGAAAATGGTTCACTGTTCCATCAGGAATAACGATAACGAGACACTAATGCATCCATGCGGGACTTGAGGCACAGACGCAAAGTATTATGTATTTTTACTATGAAGACGGGTTTATATATTCATTCGACATTGGAAATAGTGATTTCATTACAATTTGCTGAATCTATGTCTCACGAGAATAAAAAAACCTAAAAAAAAAAAATAGAAACCATGAGGCAAGTGTCTCATGTTTCCCGTCTGGTGAGAATACGGAATGATATATGCCGCGAATTATGTATTAAAAAATAATCCAAGACATACATACACGTATTACTATCATCCAGACGGCAAACCCTGACCTACACGTATGTCGTCAAACGATAAATTTAGTGAAATGAAAGTCTGAATAAACAAGTCTTCAGCAAAAATACAAACCCCACTTCTGCTTTCTTATCTGACAAGTGTTGAGTACTCTGGTACATATATTTTTGATTAACCAGCCACTTTGTGATTGGCAGCAGTGATATTCATAGAAATTGTTTGCAATTTTATAGATTTTGTTATAACTGGTTTTGAAATTCCCACCTGAAGTTAGATACGATGACACTGAATTTCGGCCCATTTTTAACAATTCAAAATTACTCAGGATACCTAATACTGTTTACGTTCTTTATTTGTATATGTACTATGTTTGTATCTGATGTTGCATAATTTGAATGGATGCTCAGATTTTATTATGAATACTGTAAAATCATTGACTTTCATTGGCATTTAATTTCATTATTTTGAGCATATTCACTGAGTTTTCAGGAATTACAAGAAAAACAATGAGTTCTATTGTTATTAAACATGCTCATGCGAGTTAAATTTACTGAAAAGTAAAAAAATCCAGCTAATATAGTTTTTTTTCCATATATTACATTCAGCTCATCAAAAATCAGTGAAACTAAATTCCATACAAAACATGCAAAAATTAATTTTTACTTACTGAGCATCAGTGAAAATAACAAAATTAACAATTGTGAATAATTAATGCATTCACAGTACACATGTAATCACAAAAAAGACACATCTAATGTTTGTAAGAGAATATTAAATAACCTAGACAAAAGAAAGCATTGTTTTCCTTTGCTAAAATTATTCATTTTCCTTATC